GCATCAATTGCTGGGATGACATGGAAAGTTCGTTCCTTAGCAACTTTTTCGATGATGACACCGACGTGTCGATCGAAGCTCTTCTCGATGAGAAGCAAAAAGATGATGAGTCAGTTGATAGTTTTGTCAAACGCTTCCGCAACAAGGCAATGAATTGCAGGGATCCTATCACAGAGGATTTCATCTTACAGACGTGCTATGATAATCTCTCCATCGAAGTTCTTGAAGTCATAGGGGTTGTCCCCTCAATCACCTAGAAGGAATTAAAACTACGTGGAGAACAGGTTGAATGTTTCCTCAAAAGAAAGAAACAACAAAGGACTCTTAATCTGAAGTTCCAGGAGGAGTATTCTTTCGAAGATGATGAAGTTCCAACCATCTTCAAATATCTCCTCGCCAACAATAAGATTAAGCTACCACTGATTACAAATCAGGAGGAAGCAAACAAGATTTCAGATCCTAAGTACTGTGCATACCACAGGACGGTCCATCACCCCACCAAGACTTGTATTACGCTAAAAAACAGCATTCAAGCCTTGGTTGACGTCGGCATCATAAAACTGAAAGAAGCCGAATAAGAACGGCTTCCTCCGATAGGTATATGAGGTTAAACTACTCCCATCCTCTGATAAGTATATGAGATTAAACTGCTCCATCCTCCGATAGGTCTACGAGGTTAAACTGCTCCCATCCTCCGATAGGTATATGAGGTTAAACTGCTACCATCCTCCAATGAGTATAAGAGGTTAAACTGGTTTTCTGTGATACTCCAATGGGTATATGAGTCTAAACTGTTTCCCTTATTTCCAACGGGAAGTTCCTGGAGAATATTACACATAATATTCTTAAGATTAACTCAAGATCAAAGGTTTGTTGAAGTCTACATCCAATACGTATTGCCGGGTAGCCTATTCCCGTAACAATGGCGAAGTTTATGTATTCAACATCATAGCACTAAGTCTTAGAGAGTTAACTCTTTTAGCACAACGTTACATGCGGAACGGACTTAGACAATCCGCATGCTAGCCCGACTCAAACGGTAGTCGGTAAAGGCGCATCAAACCCATTGATGGCTGAGGGTTTGCTAAAAATCCTATAAGTATGAGAATTATTGAAACATCAGCTCCATTAGTTGGTCTCGTGACTTGAGGATCCAACAACTTCAGGATAAAATCCATACATGCAGATGAATCAGATTTAACATTTGGTCCTGCAACCCCCACACTTGGGACCGCTATGCTCCAACATCTTAAGAGCATAAACTGTATAGACACCGGTAGACGCGTTGTGACGAAAGTCAATGCTAATCAACACGTTGCGATGGAAGTCAATGTCAGTCAACGCATGATCTCAGATCAACTCCAAAGTTTAGATATAAATTCCCGATAAAGATGATCAATTCAAAGTCAACTCAATGACACGAGCTAAGTTTAAAATTTTAGATACTAATTTTAGTTCAAGACTTCAATAATGGTCAGACGACAAATACAACGTCATAAGAACTTCATCTGTTCGACAAAATACTGAATAGACTTAAGGCTGAAGAAGTCAAGAATTGAAGCAATTCACGGGTCCTTTTATGTGATCTCCTTAATGAAATACTGAAGAGATTAAAGAGAGGGCTTGTCTTATCCAAAGTATTTCATACTTTTCTATAAAAGAATGAGTCTGAAATACATTGGAGGGGGTATCTGTAGGCGTCAAAATTTACCTATGAGTTCCTGTACACACTCGAGGCGAAATGCTGATGATAAGCGTTATCATCCAAGTCAAGAAAGGATTATCTGGCCCCTTGAAAGCTAACGAATATACAAAGTGAGTCATTGGAGTGTACAAATCAACGGAATGACGAAATGCACAATACAAGTTCGGAGAAGTCAGAAAGTGTCGAACACCTCAAAGTGGCCCACAAAAAGAAGAGGCATTTAGACCATGCTATGATTTAAATCTAAAAACATAAAAGTTGTAGGTCTCTTCATCAGCTTTCTAACACAATTTAGATCACCTTATTCTGAGATCGGACGAGGGAGTTAGAGCCAAAATACCCAAGACCATTTAGGCCGTTTTACACCAGCGAGACACAATCTGTGTCTCGGAGAAAATAGAGATTTTGGCTATGATGTGGTTCTAATATAAAACATAAAAGTTGTAGGTCTCTTTGTTATCTTTCCAAAGCATCTTGAATCACCTCAATCGGAGGTCATATGAAAGTGTTAAGCCTAAAATACCCGAGACAGTCCAAGCTGTCTCGGACATGTGCGAGACAATCGAAGTGACTCGTGTCCATGTCAGCTCCCGATGTGTTTTCTTGTAAGATTGGCTTCTAGAAATCCCTGGGGTCATCCATAAACATGTGAGGTTATCTTTAAACATGTGTAAGTTGTTACACAACCGAAAACCTACCTAAACGGATACTAACGGTTATTCTTCGATCCTATCCACATTCCTATCCACAAACACGGCATCTAAAGCCTATAAATACACCCCTAGCACCATCATAAAATTAAATCTGAAGGGAGCCACGAATTTCAGAGGAGCTAGGGTGAAGATCTGAAATTCTCGAGCCTCGGCGAAGCTCTGCAGGATTGGAGATCGGAAGGGAGCCACGAATTTCAAAGGAGCTAAGGCGAGGTTCTGATGAATTTGAGAGAGGCTAGCAGATTTTGGCGAACTCCGGTATAAAGAAGGAGCATTTCGAAGGATCTGAAGCCCGTTCCCCCTTTCCTCCCGATTTAAGCTTAGTCTTAAATCTCGAGAAGAGTCATGATCTCGCTTGGTCGGGATCATCGCTGCAGTGATTACTTTTTTTGTGAAATAAGAGCTTTAATCAATTTTTTGTCAACCAGATCTGATCTGAGGCGGTCCATGGATAAACCTCGGTACAGACAAAGATCCCACGCAAACAGAGACTAATAAATAGAATCTGTGTGTTGTTTGATAAAGTTATAATCTTTTATTTTTTTATTGTGTAAGGAGATCTTATAAAAAGATCAACTTTTCTATTTTGTGAACTTGTAATCGATAAATGATTGTAATAGATTCAAGGCAATGAAGAAATCAACTTTTGACCCAAACACTTGGTAGTGTGAATAATCTCCATAATGTCATCAGTGGCAGCTATACTAATAGCAAAATTAGAGTTTCAGTGATGTGCAAGAAAATATTTCAACACTCTAGACTGACTGCATGGTTAGGGATTGTGTGGGGTGGATGGAATCTACCTAAGCATTCCTTTATACTCTGGTTGGCATTCCTATTAAGGCTTTTAACACAAGAAAGACTATGCAAAATGAGGATTTTGAGCTCAATTCAGTGCATCCTATGTTCAAGAGATGGGCAGATTGAAACCTATCGACATCTTTTCTTCGATTGCCGGTTTTCAGCAAATGTTTGGAACAAAGTAATGGATTGGCTATGCTTCAATTGGAAATCATGCAATTGGGAACAAATCACAAGCTTTAAAAAAAACTTAAAAAGTTGGCTTTATCTACTTCAGTCTATATGATTTGGCAAATGAGGAACTTTCAAATTTTTCAACAACAATCAAGGGACTCTAATCATCTTTTTAGCTTGATAAAGTTACATGTATATACAAGGATATTGAATGATAATATACCACGTCAAATAAAAAGTTATGTAGAGAATTTTTACTTTTGAAGACTGGGTTCTATAACCAATCTTGAGAAAAGATTTTGATGTATTATAACTTCCATATATTGGTAATGAATAAAATTTTCATTGACCAAAAAAAACAAAAATCAACAAGTAATGCAGCATGAAAATTATAATGACCTTTCGAGCAAGAGCCTTCAAAGCTTCTTGGACAAGTCATTACTCCAAAGTCCTGACGTTGTATAGAGGCAACTAGATCAATCAATTACGGGCACATGTATTGTAAGGTCTGAACCAAAACTTCACACACTCGATTAAAATTAGCAATGTGTCCCTATAAACCCTCTATAAACAATGGTGAAATCTACCAAACTAAGGTACGCAATATTACATACAAAAATTCAACAAGGCTATACTCTGTTTTCATTTCAGATTAACTAGAAATAGTCATTGACTTGAGCGTCGAACAGAGGAAGAAACAACCTTTGCTGCCTCTAGCCTCTATTATTTGTGTAGCAAAGTATATATCAAGACCCTCATCTAATGATTAACCATCAAAGGCAATTACGAGACCCAAAAAGAAAGTTTAACTCCCCCAAATTACACCTCAATTTTTTGACGTCAACAACTAGCTATACTTGTAGACTTGTATACTACTTGTCGAAAAATCAATCCTTTTTGTCAAATATTGCATTTTCTTCTGCAAAATTTGCAACTACAAGAAGAGGTGCATAAATAAGCATATGAGCATTTGTTATGATTAATGATTATGCATACGTGATGATGTGACATAGATATGCTACGAGTAAATGATTGGTTTATATCTAACTTTTAGAGTCAGTGTAATATTATCTTTTCTAATTATATTTAACAGGATTTTTTCATGGATGTTAAAAAATTTTAATGGAGGGTAAAAAAACTGAGAGTTTAGGTCTAGCAATGGATACATGGCCTAATTTGAGAAAAAATAATCCATAGAAATCAATTTAAGAATGAAGCCCAAATACTGTCCAATTTATAGCTAATTTAATTTAGTTTCAGTTGGAAATGATCTCCGGACGTATTTAGATAAGAACAATAGTAATACAAAAAGGGTAATTGACAATAATATTCATTGAAATTGGATAAAATCTATCTCCCATGGAAAGTAATAAAAGCTAATTGATTCAACGAATATATTCTAGAAGAAGGCAATTCATGAATCTTAATAATCAAATATTTGTTACCAAGTAAGAATCAAGTATGGTATAAAAGGAGGGTACGTAGGGAAGGAAGCTGTGCTTCAATCTTCATCCATGGCTTTGGCTTTGAGAAAATCAATCTCCCTATTTTTTCTTATAATATTCTCGCTCGATGTTCGTGCGAGAGGAGTTGAGAGTAGATGGAGTATGGAGGGGGAGGAAGACTTGGAGCTTGAAAAACAGCTGAAGATGCTTAACAAGCCCCCTGTAAAATCATTTCAGGTACTTCTTTTTTAACTTTAAATTAATGTCACAGATCATTCTTCAATTTTTCCTCTAAATCTAATCCTACATTCGTAGTAACAGTTATAAGATTTCTTATGCTCAAACAAAATATCAGCAATAATTATATATGTTCGCAGTGAAATCTTTGAGCAGTAGCTTTTTAAATACCAATGCCAATCAAATACCATTTAACATCTTTATAAATTTTGTCTGTGGGGCTTCATTTATTTTATGCACTGATGATGGAGGTTTATTATTTTGCAGTCTAAAAGTGGACATATTTATGATTGTATTGATATCTACAAACAGCCAGCCTTTGACAATCCTCTTCTGAAAGATCACAAACTTCAGGTACAAATTGAATTCCTACATTCTGAACTTGGTTATAATTTTTAGGTTGCAGTATTCAGACCCTACTCAAACCTTCACTTTAGCTCATTTTTGTGACTGACATATATTATATGATACCATTCTAGAATATCTCGATACATGCATTGGCCTGTTTGGTTGTGAGGAAAAACAAGAAATTTGCATTATGGGAAACCATTTCCTGTAATGCTTTACTTTTATATATGTGTGTTTAGTTCGCACTTGGAAACCAAGAGAGAGGGTGAGGTGCACTCTTCTATCTGTTGATTTGATCCCAATTCTAAGAAACTCATTTTGGTGCTTTTTTAAAGAAATGGTTGGAAACCATTTGCGGAAAGTAAATTTACAAGTTACAACCTCCCATTATTACAAAAACTATTAGCTATGTAACCTTATAGCCTCTTAGTATGAAGTAAGTACCGAAATAGGCTCAATATACGTTTACTAGAAAGATTAGACAGACATAGGAGGAAAAATTAACTGGTAAAAAAATATCTAGTTTGCTCTGAAATGAATTTAATAATAATTAATTTATAGAAGGAGGTAGTATACATGTGTCATTTTGACCAGAGAGAGATGACAAATTAAGAGATCCTCATTTAATCGGGTTTGCCTAAAAAATTAAATGTTTTAGTAGTATAATCGACATTTTTCTTTATCTCTATTTACTGATTAATTGAACAATGGGTTACTTAATGCAGATGTGGCCTAGCAGTTTCCCAAAAGGCATGCCTATAAACTCAAATTTGCGCCAAAATAGCACTTGTCCATCAGGAACGGCTCTTATTCGCAGAACTACCAAGAATGACTTAATATATGGCAAAACTCTTCAAAATCATGTGAAAAGTCACGGTACAAATTTCAAAAGTATTATTAATGACGGAAGCCATGTGAGTAACCCTCGTTCACTTTGCAATTTTAGCTATAGTTTACCAACTTTCATGTTAACCATAATCATATGAAAATGAATTATATTAACCTTTTCTGTTCATTCAAGCACTCTTCTAAGATATCGAAAGGCTGAGAACGGAAGTACGAATAGTGTCGTAATTGTATTTTGCTCGGTATTACGACAATATCTCTGCACTGACAATATTTTAATATTATGATTTTCGCAATGAATTTTTTAGCTTTCTCCATAAAGTCGACTATAAATTAGATATAATACTATTATAGAACCAACAAAGAAGATAAAGTAATTACATATATACATATATACACACACACAATTGATAGTCAAAAAAGAAAATGAAAAAAAAGGGAAAGAACTACGATCTCTAAGATGTAACATTCTAGAGGATTTTTTTTCCTTGAGTAATTTTTGTAGATGGAACATTCTAGATGGATTTCTCAACATGCGCAACTTGAAGACATACGATCTCTGTAGACATATGCTCGTTTTAAGTATATAAGAGGTTCGTAATTATCTACCTAGGCTAAATACAAAGAGCAACAACGCTTTATCCCATATTTTTTCAATGACAATGAGGTTTATCGTGTTATACAACTAAAAAGAGGCATGTACACTCCTAAAAGTTCTTTCGGAACAGTGAATTAAAAAACTGACTTGAACCGTCACCATGTTATCCAAATTAGATAAACACTAAAAAAATGAAAAAAAAAATTGCATGGTGGAATACGTATTATATATAGAGTCAAAGTCAAATAAAGCAATCAAATAGAGAATGCATAGAAAATAGATCAGAAAACACGGGAAACAGAGGAGACATGTAGTGTTTTGGTCAATTAAGTTTAAACTTTCCACTATAAAAATTAGCAAGAAGTTATATATAGTTCACCCAGACATCGAGAATTAAGGTGCTATATCATATTCTATTGGAAATTAAGGTTAAATCTGGAATAAAACAAGGAATTAGATGTGCTGTATTTTTTAAGTTTTTCAGTTAACTGTTGTACGTTATAGAAACACTGTGCTTAAAGCAATATTTGGCCTACTCCGGTGCAAGGATCCCAAGGTCAAACTGCTTCCAAAAACAACAGTGCAATACTCTGGTGTGCACCAACCCAGTATTGTCAATATCTCCTCGATCTATAAGACCTTTTGATCTAGGCAAAAGATCTCCTCGATCTCAGAACCTTTCGGTTCAAAACCTTTCGGTTTAAGACAAGTTCCTGTGGGCACAAGTTCCTGCAGCAGCAGTACAACAGCAACAACGTCGGGATCGACGTTCGTATTCCAGCACGCGGGCACAAGTTCCTGCAGCAGCAGTACAACAGCAACAACGTCGGGATCGACGTTCGTATTCCAGCACGCAACGTTCATGTTCCACGCACGCGAGAGGATTTTCAGCTCTTGACGTTCGTGTTCCACGCTCGCGAGAGGATTTCCAACAGCAACCAAAAACTGCCCAAGGACGCTATTTATAGGCCTCTAAGGCCAGCTCAAGAGTCACTAGTAATTAATGTGACCGTTACAATTCTTAATGACAATTAAGATTGTAACATCAATGCATTAAATTGCTCTTAATGCTGTTGTAACTGCTGCATACATCAACTCCTGAATATGAGACAATCAATGAACGCGTTGCTACGGAAACACGAGGGTCACGTCTCAACAAATCAGACGAACCTCGTTTGACAAACGAACATCGTCAAACAGGCGAACCTCGTATGACAGACGAACCTCGTAGAACGAGCGAACATAGTCAAACAATCGAACCTTGTAAGACATACGAACCTCGTTGATCGAGCGAACCTCGTCAAACAGGCAAACCTCGAGCGAACCTCGTCAAACAGGCAAACCTCGTATGACAGACGAACCTCGTCAACAAGCGAACCTCGTATGACAAACGAACCTCGTCGAACGAACGAACATCGTCAAAAAGGCGAACCTCGTATGACAGACAAACGTCACCGAACGAATGAACATTGTTAAACTACGAGAATGCTAGGGTCAGCCGCGTGCGAATACGTCGAATGGACGAACATCGTCAAATAGGCGAACCTCGTATGACAGACGAACGTCACCGAACGAACGAACATCGTTAAACTATGAGAATGCTAGGGTCACCCTCGTACGAATACGTAGCTCGCCCGCATGCTGCGAAGGGGTAACCTTCGTGGCGCCAAACAGCGCCACCTCGCCTCGATGCATCTGTGCGAAGTGCAAAGTGCACCTAACAAAGCGCCACTTAGCGCCTCAGCCCGATTAACCCTGATCCCCGACCCATTGGCCAACGGCCTACTACCCACGACACACTAGAACTTATGAGCGATTAATTCAAATAAACCACTTCTCGGCTTTATTTTGGAAAGCGGTTTTGACCAAAAAATCCAACAATCCCCCACAAGTTTTTAAACTAGTGTCGTGTTATGGTGCCATCGTTTAAATCGTTATGCATAAGGTAGTTGTCGCAAGGACTTGAATCCCCCTTAGATCAACTGAATAGAAGATAGATACATGATGTCGCAGAGACTTGAACCAGCACATGTCTAAAATCCAACGATCACACAATATCAAACTCATTTGTGGCAGTTTTCACTTTGAACCACACTTGCCTTTGCCTTTGCACATTTTTGGCCCTGTGCTAGTCCTAGTTTCTGCTAGGACTCTAGGTATCTTTCCACAAGACACCATAGGAGACGGCCAAATCTCCACCCATGCATAGGTGAGTTATTTAGGCATGTTTCCTATCAAACATCCCGCATCTGAAATGCTTTGAACTCATTAAGGCTTAAGAGTCATCCTCTCTCATGATAGGATTCTAGGTGAGTTCTTTAGGCGTGTTTCCTATCTAACACCCTGCATCTGAAATGCTTTGGACCCATTAAGGCTTAACAGCCAGCCACTTTACATGATAGGATTATCGGTGAGTCCTTTAGATATGTTACCTATCCAACATCCCGCATCCGAAATGCTTTGGACCCATTAAGGCTTAACAGCCAACCTCTTTACATGATAAGATTTTACTTGTAAATCTTACTTGACTTTTGAACCAATCATCTTGTCATTAGTAGCGTAAGCTTTGAACTAATAACTTGACGAAATGTAAGTATTTGTAAGACTCACCAAACTTTACAAATCTTACTTGACTTTTGAACCAGTTATCTTTATTATTAGTAGCATAAGCTTTGAACTAATAATTAGATGGACATGGTAAGTATTTGTAAGACTCACAAAACTTTGAGATCCATTGTAGCAGACGTTCTTTCGACTATATCCTTTTTCAGACCTTTAGTCAAAGGATCAGTCACATTCTCTGAAGACCGAACGTCAATCACCGAGATGGCTCATTAGCAAATGAGTTCTCTCAAATAGCCATGCTTCAGACGAATTGTCCGCTTCTTTCCATTGAACAATAAGTTCGTTGCCACAGCACTCATTGCCTGATTATCACAACAGATTGTAATTGCGACTTGCAATTCTTTCAATGGAAGGTCTCGAAGAATACAACGGAGCCACTCAGCTTCATCTCCTACAGCACAGAGTGAGAAGAACTCAGATTCCATCGATGACTGTGCAATCATAGTTTGCTTCTTAGATTTCCATGAGACGGCAGCTCCGCCCATGGTGAAGACAAAACCTCCAATAGATCTACACTCATCTGGTTCTGAGAACCAGCTCGCATCTGAATAGCCTTCGATTACAGTCGGATATCCAGTGTAGAATAGGCCCAGACCTGTAGTTCCTTGTGAACCTACTAAGCATTCCTACAGCAAATGCTATATATGGCCTTGTACAGCTCATCGCGTACATAAGACTTCCAATTATCTTTGAGTACTTTAGCTGCTCTACTAGTCTTCCAGTGTTCGGTCGAATCTTCTTGTTGTAATCATACGACACTGATAGTTCTGGCAGGTCGTAGTAGCCATACTTCCTTAGCATGCTCTCGACATAATGAGATTGGGACAATCCCATACCCTCTTCAGTGTATATGATTTTGATTCTGAGAATCACGTCCGCAGTTCTAAGGTCCTTCATGCTGAACTGAGCTGATAAAAATTTCTTGGTAGATGTTACT